GGTAATTTAGGGGATTATATGAGATTAGTATGGAAAGAGGCCCTGTGTTTGGCGATCTGTTCCAACCACTTTTGTCAGGGCACCTCCTTGACTTTCCTCACCATATCAGACACTCAGTGATCTGGCCTCCCCTTCCTCTGTGTCCCACAGCATCTGCCACAGTTGATCTTCCCCTTGTCAGCAAGATGCCACCCCCTCTAGATACTCAAAGTTCCCATTCTCAACCAGCTTTCTCATTTCATTTAGCCAAGTAGCAGGGTTCTCTCTTGTCTTTCATGACCATTAGTGGATGATGAAAAGTGCTGGCTTTCTCTGTAGTCGTGGTTCACCAAGGCTAGAAAGAGACGAAAGCAACTGCCGTCTTTGAGTTCATTATTGAATTGTCTCAGGAGTTTAGATTGGGAGGAGATACTTCTGAATAAACCTATAGGTTAATGTTACCCAATTCTAATCCGTGTACCTCTTTTCTAGGCATACCATACCCATTGCCAACCTCACCCTTCTTTTGGGCACCTCTAGCCTCCCTTCTATTTACCATATTTGAGAGCAGCAATTGTCCCCACCCCAGTGCCCAGGCCATATGCCCTACAAATGCCTTCTTGGAACTGGACTGCAGATCTAACAGCTTCCATGTTTTGCTAACTCCCTTGCTGTGCAGAAGGACTGAATGGTATCTGGTTAATATTACTGAACATTTTGATCAAAGAATCAGTGAGTGAATCCTGATCAAAGGGTGCAAATGTGGAACAGAATTTCAAACTCTTACAGAATCCAGACTTCACCTTTTGAGACTGGAGGGCCTCCCAAATCTATCACTCTGAAAAATCTTCAAACCATGAACCAAAAGTATTCCCTAAAGTCCTCTTTAAATTCAACAAAACTAAACTCAAAGTTAAGCAGAACTACTAAAGATGTTCACTGTGAGGACTGTATGCCTAATGAATGATCTAGGAGAGATCAAATTGACAACAGTAACTGTAAAGCATAGATGGGAGGCTAGGGGCTGGTGAATCTAAGTCAGTGGTGGTGAAATATGGGGAGAGATGGCAAGAATGGTGCTGCAACCTGAAGAATGCAACCAGTGCTACTGAATGTACATGTAGAAATTGTAGAAGGCATAGGTATCCTGCTACATATATTTTTACCAACATTATAAAAAAAAAAATTGAGAACAACTCCTCTCCCACCCTTGTGGCCTTGGTCTGTTTCGACTTACTCAAGTAATGCCTTTACCATTGGTTTAATTCTCCTTTTTTCCATTGACAGGATCTTACCTAGTCACATGGCCTGCTGCCTCTGCCAAGTTAAAAGTACCACTGAAGTTGTCTGCAAGACAGTCAAACTGCATTGTGACAGTGGCTATCTGATGAACGCCACACAATGCAGTGAGTCTGAATGGCTTCATGATATATATTTTAAACTAATAATGTAACTTCTGTATTTTTATTCACTGATTAATTCACAGTTGTGCTGTTAAGTGGTTAT